CTCTCTCAGTAATCTTTTGCTAACTGTATTTGCTCTCTTATCTCTTTGCTGGAGGGATCATTTTTTGCCAATATTTGCTCATTTTGGTCATTCTTTAATTTACAGATCATTTTAATTATGAACCTTCTGAACTCCTTCTCTGGAATTTCATAAAATTTGCTGTCCATGGGTTCTGTTACTGTAGTATCCTTGTTTGTTTGAGGCACTTTCTTCCCTTGTTTTTTCATGATGTCTATGTGTCTTCCTTTCTTGCATCGTGGATCTGAGATATTACAGTTTCTACACTATATTTTTGTAGTGCCCATGCAGATTGTCTGTAGCTCATTTTAATGTTGGGCTTCCAGACCCTGCTGGTGTCCCTCAATGTATGCTACTGCACATAAAGGTGGTGGTGGCAATAGCTGAGGTAACTTGAGATAATAGTTAAGGTGCCCCAAAATGGAAGCAAAGTATTACAGAGATGGGGCTGAAAGGGTGGGCCTCACACTCCCTTGGGGATGCCTGTTTTGAGACGCCCTGTCTGCTGTCAATTAGTTAGAGGCTACTATGTGGGATATGCTATGGTGATGACTTCAGTGTCCCAAGATGGAAGTGGATTAGGCTTAGGCTGGGGGGATGGCAAACTCAGACCTATCCTTGACCTGGTCATACAAAAGTCAGTGAGGATGGATCTGGGCCAGGCCTGGGCTCCCATGGTAGTCTGCTGGTTGGAAGAGGTGGTCCTGTGCTGGAAGCTGGGGTCCAGCAGGTGCTTGCAGGTGGAGGGGTGGACCTATGCCTATTATGAGCCTGGGTCCCGCTCAGGCCAGTGTGGGTGGATCTGGGAGAGTCCTCTTCTTATATCTAGAAAATTTTGTATCTTATAAGTATTCGGATGAGATAGAAAACAAAATATTACCTATTTTTCCAGCTTCTCCTACATCCAGGGTATGAGCTCATTCAAACACATTGGCACCAGAAATGAATCAAAATTAAATAGGTAAAAAAGGAAGCGTGGATATGAAGTAGGAAGAGATGGGAAGTAGGTGCAGGCTCTAGGTGGCAGGGCAGCTATGCCAGGGGAAGAATCCAGAGTCATCTGGTGTTCAGAAGGGATCTCATTGTGCAGGTTTCAAGGAAGGATTTGTATGACATCAAGGCTGATGTCTCACCTTCCTGAGGAATTTGCAAGCGTGATTCTCCATCTTCCCTGGGAATGATATGGAAACAACCTGTTTCTGGTTAATCAGTTGAAATCTTGTCTTTTACTGTAGTCAGAGAAGCTGTAGAAGTAATTTATAAAATTAAACATTCATTTCTGATTTTAAGAATGAACAAATGAAAGTAGACTTTTAGAAAACCAAAAAGAAAAAGTGCTTTGCTTAATTCAATAAATATCTACCACCTAAATTGTAACTTAGTATTGAAAGACTGAAAATATTTCTATTAAAATATAGACAAAAACCATGCCTGTTTCTGCTACAGTTTTTCAATGTGTTCCAGGGGACCAGTATAATAAGAAAATGGAGAGAGAATAGTGGGGGCAGAGAGGGAGAGAGAGAATTATCATTATATGCCGGTGATATAATTTTATTGTAAAGGCCAAGATATTTAGATTAAATAAAATAGATAGTTAAATATCGTAGCCCATTAAAAGGAAAATATTAAAAATCAGCATATTTTCCTATATATCAGCAGTAACCATTTGGTGCTGAAGTGGAAAAATAATACCTAGAAGTCATTTCTAGATAATAATTTCTATAAATAATGTTTTAAAATATTAAGATCAATAGTAAATCTATAAATATATGAATATAGAATGGAGAAATTATATAGATACTTATTGATATTTACTTATTGAGGAATTATTGAACAAATGAAGAGATATACTATGTTCCTGGATATAAAACTTATAGTATAAATATGCCACTTCCTTCTAAACTAATCCATATTCATAGTTCTTATGAGTGAAATGAGGTTTGTTTTGAGAACCTGTCAAAGTTATTTTAAAGCTCCTACCATTGAACAGTATGTTCAAAAAGTATGCTGAAATTGGATGATTCAATGAAATTCCAAACAAAATTCAAACTATTTAGAGGAGACATTATTCCATAAACTAATTCCATAATATATGTGGAAATTGAAAGAACTATTAATAGTCATGACAATGTGGAATAAACAAAGAGACCTACCACTACTTATAGTAATATAGACCTATATTTGCATTTATAAAGACTTAAAAACTGACAGTAATTAAGATAGTGTAAAAATGATTGAAGGATTAACCATTGAACCGATTTTGCAGAATAGAGACCCCAGAAATAGACCCATTCCTCTATGAGCATGTAATTTTTCAAAATACATAAAATATCTCATAAACCAATATGGAAATGACACGAAATCAACAAAAGAAGTGGCCAAAAGAATTAAACACTCTTCACAAAGATGATATCCAATGGCCAACACACCTATGAAAATATCCTCAATTATATTAATTATAATCCAAAAGAAAATTAAAACTATAAAATATTCTACACATTTATAACACTACAGGAGTTAGGTAAGAAGGACTGAGATTAAAAGAACTGACAATACCTGATATTGATGAGGATATTGAGCACTTGGAATTCTCATGCTTGAAGGAATGAAATTTGGTACAATCCCTTTGAAAATTGTTTGCCAATATATACTCCAGGATGTAGCAATTCCTTTCATATACGCTGCACACACACTCACACACATACACACACACACACATACACACACTCACACATATACACACACACATACACACTGAACAGAATTTATCCATATGTACTAAAAACATGTATAAGAATGTTTTTGACAACAATTTAGCTCAAAGCTGGGAATAAAATGTCCACCAATGGTACACTGGACAAATAAATTGTGGTATGTTCATATAATGGATGGTATATAACAAAAAAAAATGTTAACACAATCATGTAGATGAATCGTACAAGCATAAATTTAGGTGAAAGATGTCCAATCACAAAAGAATGCATATTGAGTAGGTCCATTTACCTACAGCAGTCATCTTTGGGGAGCAACAAGAAGCCTCACTGAGGAAGGGCCTTCCAGGTGCTGGTAACTTCTCTTCCTTGAACTGGATAGTGTTTTGATGAATATGTCCACTTCATGATAATTTATTGAACTGAAACTTTATGATGTATGCGCAGTCTCACTGTGTGTCATACTTTAACGGAAAATGTTGATTAAAAACAATAAGGAAGTGCTGGGTGCCATGGCTCATGTCTGTTGTCCCAGCTACTTGGGAGACTGAGGCAGGAGGATCTCTTGTGTCCAGATATATGGGGCCAGTATTGGGCAGTATTGCAATACTCCATCTCAAGAAACAAGAATAACAACAAAAACAAAATCCCCACAAAGAAATAAAGAAGAAGGAGGAGGAGGAGGAAAATGATTTACTAACAAATTAATTTATAAAATATGATTAAATTCCAGAAGAAAATGTTAGCTTTAATAACTACATAATAAATTACACGTAAAAAATGGCAAATTTTGGTCTGTGAAAAAAAATAGGAGAACACATAAATCTTGAGTAAAAATAAGAGGGCATGAAATTGAAGGTGATTTGATATTTGTTTCTTCTTATACAACACTGATAAGCAAGAAGATTTCTAGATGTATATACAAAAATTTTAAATAACATAAAACATAAATAGGAAACTGGGAAAATTTTTATAATATACAAGACAGTTTAAGAATTAATATACCAAATAACACATTATCTTCAAGAGAATGATTGGTTTGAAGAAGGGTTTCTTTTTAAGATATGCAGGTAAATGACAATTCAGTGAATCCATTGGGAGGAGAATTTTATATAGAGTGAATTTCCTGATGCTGTTGGTGGTCTCTGTAATAAATAAGATAAAAACTGTTCAAAATACATGAAATGAGACACATTAAATAGTAAAGCCATCACATTTTTGGTTTTTAACATTGTCAAAAATCTTATCCACATCTTATTCAAAGTAAAAAGTAAACTTTGCTGTGTAAAGAAATTCCCTCTCTCATAGACCGTCATGGTGATTGGAAAAGAATCAAGTCCCCCAGGCTGCTCTGGCCCTCTTCTGAGGATGCTCCTCCTGCAGGGTGGGGTCAAGTCTGATCTATCTACTTAGTGCCTATCTGGTTCCCATTCAAAGCTCATTCCCTGCTTATAAGACCCTGTGAAGCCCTAGGGTCCTCTTCCCAGCATCTTTTCTCCTGGGCTCATAGAAGGTATGAGCCATCCTTCAGCAGGAAGAGAAGTCAAAGGTAGCTGATTAGTAGCCTGCACAGAGCTTGGATCTGCATCCCACTTGAGTATTTGAGGGAGCCAGAGGTGGCAAGGGAGAAGCCTGAGAATGGAGCCAGGCTCAGCCCTCCAGATGCCCATCCCATTCTGGCTCAGACTATCCCAAGAATTTGAATTCCAAGTCCTTAGGAAAAGATATTCGTTCAGAAGGAGGAATAACCATATGTGATATGAAAGTTATCCTGATTTATAAATTTGAAGTGTTTATTTACCGAGTTTTGGGGTCCCTATTTGAACCTTGCCCCGCCCTTTATATATTACAGGGAGAAGATTGCTACTGAACCCCCAGGTGGCAGAGTGAGCTTGGACTGAAGAACAGGTGCCTCTTCCATTGTCATAGAGAGAGTGAAGCAGTCCCGGGTGTGAGTCAGGAAATTAGGAGACAAGGAAATGGAAGCTTTATCTGTGAGTGAAGAAAGGGTGTTGGTTAAGGAGTTTGAAGGGGAGTGAATGTTTGAGTTGTGTTACGGGAGAGAGAAAGTAAATCCAGGAAGTTTTCTAACCTTCATTTTCCCTTAATGTGCCTTAAATACTTGTCCATACTATACATAAATTTTCTACATTTTTATTTTCCCTTTTTACCTAATATTCCATTTAAAATATGTACTGTATTGCATTTGACAAATCCACTAGTTTGGATTTGAGGATTGTTAACAATTTTTTTTTCAATTATAAAAGCTAGTTTATTGTTATCACCAGAGATACATATCTAAATATCACTTAGAGACCTTTCTAGGACAAATTCTATAAGAGCAATTTTTGATCTTAGGATGAGATTTTTAAAAGCAATTGTTCATTTACTTTAATTTGAACCAACTCATCCTATTCTAGCCTGTAAGTTCACAAGCACCTTCACCAAAACTAAGTATTTTTCTTTTTCATTGATCAGAGTCTACTGTGCTAGACTCTAACTGCAAAGGTAATAAATTAAGTATACAATAGAGATTGATATATTTTTAAAAAACAGGACTTGAGAAGAAAGTGCTATGGTAAGTGCTATTTCAATCTTACTGCCTGTGGTGGGGTTTTCAAAATAGCCTCTACACAGTCCTTTGTTAAAGTTCAGTGACATTATATACCTTACTTCATACTTTCTGGCAACTAGGAGACTCTTGGGTCTACTATATGATAATCGAAATGAAAAAAAAGAATGATCAAAACCAAATTGTGCTAAATAGACACTGTTTTCATGCATTTATCAAATCCTCATAATAAACTTAAGATGAAAATATTATTATTCTTCTCATTTCAAATGAGGGAAACTGAGAAAAGAAAAATGAAGCACATCCAACTATATATGTTAGTCACTCCTGGTGGCAATAACTAGAAATAGAAGGAACCGGGCTGTAGGATTCCATAAGGCAATAAAGTGTGGCAGAACTTGAGTAGAAATTTTCACCTTGGGATAAATAAACTTTGACTTCAGAAGAATGTTCCTGCATCTTTCTAAAAGGGTTGGCAGTGCACACTATGTGGTTGGCATCTCTGGAACCACAAGGGTACAATAGTGAGTTGTAAAATTTAAAAAGTGTAAGGAAAAAACAAATTTTGTTATTTATGTAAACATAAATAATAAAATAGCTGAAAACAAAGGTGACTTGCATTGCTGGGCTAAAGGGTTTCTGGGAGAAAGTTTGGGAGTAGGAGTTAGGGGAAAGTTTAATTGCTTAAACTTGAAATGAAAGCGAGAAGGAAAAGCTCTTCTGGTTTCCAAGGCAATCCTGGTGGGTGGAAGTAAGAAACAGAGGGAAGAGAAGGACCCGGGAGATGAAGCAAAGCTCCAGGGGCAGAATAATCAAAAGAATTCTAACAGTGGATTGTCCAGATGTTAGGTCAGAGCACATTTGCAATGTCAGCTTCCCTCCCTGCAACCTATCCCTGGGCACCCAGAAATATCTCTGTGAGTAGTTTTTGTCTTCTTTTTCTTTTTGGATATCTAAAGGAAGTATCTTTTTACCCCCAAAGCAGTGATAAGTGACAGGTGAGTTTTCCAAGGGACTGCCCCAAACCACCCCAAGATGGGGCTGGTAGGGATTTTACAGAAGAATCACTACACTCCAAGGTACTCAGTCCAAAGATTTATTAAAAGAACTTATTTACAAAGCATTGTAGTGTTCTGGTATGGTCATATCCAGGTATGTCCATAATTAGGGAGGGAAAAGTGATAGAGCTTACCTGAGGAATTAAAGAATGTGGCTTAGATCCAGAGTCAATTTCTACACCTTTAGCAACATGATTGATGTTTCAATGTTTTGAACAACAACCTAAACAACTTTTTCATTTCCTGGGAATGTGCAAGGCCCTGGCTTGTGTTCAAATCTGCTGGGAAAACATGCAACAACAACAAAAAAAGGTGCTCTGTGTTTCTCTCTCAGGACAAAGAAGAAATGCAGGGATAACTGGGGGACTCAACAGCATCACATCTGGGTCAACACAGTGCAGTCTGAAAATATGCAGAAGCTGTACATGAGTGGAAGTGGCTACAAACATGAGAACTCCAGGAGTTTAAAGTGCACTCAAGCAGGCCTAGAACTTCCACAGAGTGTGTACTTCAAGAGTTTGGACCAATTGTGAAGATACCAAGAATGACAGTGTGGAAAGTTCCCAACTGACATCTAGGTTGTGAAAAGCAATGAACTTTTAGTTGAAGAACTGGAACTAGAAAGGGATGCCTTTTTGAATGAATGCTTTTGGTGGTAAGTGCAAAACAAATTTATAACCCTACCTTTATAGATGCACAAAACTGACGTCCAGGCTAGGTTTTCTTAATTGCTTTGTAATCATTTAACAAAGCCAGTGACAGGCTCTGGTCAGCTAACTATTTACATACACTATACTATGAAAGCCAAACATTTTCTATGGCATAGTTTTGGGAAATTCTTACATCTTTGAGCTGCAGGGTAGACTCTGTTGAATATCAGGTCAAGGATCCTATTGTAACATAGTGGCCGAGCTGTAAAGGAGACTGAATGCCCAGATTTAACTGGTCACTACTACCAAAGTGAGGGTCCCCAGTAGGAAATGAATGGTACCCAGTTAATGAATAAGATCTAGAAAGGGACAATTGGTTGAGTCCCCTGAAAGCCTCAGGCCAGCATAAATAGGTATTGCTCTTCTTTACCAAAAGCGAGTTTTTCTTGCCTGGAGAATTTGCAGAGGTTTTAGAGAGAGAAGAGTCTTACAAGATGAAGTCTATCTTCTGTAAAATTTGTCCCCATGTTCTGTTATCATGTCCATTCTGACAACTTAGGCTCAGGTCTTAGTAAAGTGACTTAAGAGAACTTATTTACAAAGGACTATAGTGTTCTGGTACGGTCTGTCTTCTAGACAATAGGTTTCATCCTACAGAACTGTAGGATCTGGCTAATGTGTACTATTAAGACCTGATATTTTGCAGGTAATATCTGGGAAGAAAGAACCAGTGAAATACTCATCCTGTAGAGGAAATGTGAAGGAATGCAAATATGTTTTGATCTAATAATATAGCATTTTATGTGAAGTATAAAATCTTTTACTTTAGTGTTCAGGAGGTTGAATTTGTAATTTTGTATATAGTCCATATTTATAATGTTTCATGACTGATTCAATAAAACACATCTGTTCTATTTTAAAAACTTGATATGTCTACTGATTTCTTTCTTTCTTTCTTTAAACATGTATTTTTTAGTTATAGGTGAACACAATACCTTTATTTTATTTTTATGTGGTGCTGAGGATCGAACCAGTGCCTCACATATGCTAGGCAAGTGCTTGTCCTCTGGGCCACAACCCCAGCCCCTGATTGAGTATTTCAATGATATTGTTCTATTATGTACTTTAGGGTTCTCTGGGTAATCTTATATTGACTAGATGGTATATATTAAAGTCAACTAAAAAGGATAGGAAAAAATTTCTCTTAACATTCATTAACATTTTGCTACAAGGTTATTCTCTAAATATTGACTTTTAAAACTTCTTTATAAATAATTAATATCAATATTAAAGTATTCATTATGCATTTTGTTGGCATATTTAAGGTTTGAATTCTAACAATAGGGTTAAAATACTATTTTAAAGTATTTTTGCATATTCTATCTACTTTTCACTTTTAATCACTTTGTATTACTTTTAGTCTTTTAATATATGCTCATATAAAGTATATGTGTGACTTAAATTTGTTGTATTTGTTTTTAAACATACTGAAGATATTTTAATAAAGAAAATAAACTCATCTGTTTTAAGTGGGGTAACTTATCTGGGTCAAATGTTCTGTTTGATCTCAATTCTGTCATTGCTTTATGCTTCCCTGTCTTTAAGAATATGGCCTGTGATTTGTGTGCTTCTGTCTGCTGGATTGGGGACCAGAAGTTTAAAATTCTATTAAGTGGTTGAAACTCTCAAATTCTACTAAAATTTATCAAAGAACATGAATCAACTATGTACCTGATTTTTTAAAAAATTAACAAAATCAAAAAGGGAAATATTGTGTTTTTCCAACCATAAATTTTCTTGTCCTTATTGGCCGGCCCAACTTATCATACACAATTGTTCATTTATCATGATTTTTGATGCATCTATTCTATTTCAATAAGAGAAATATCTTTTTCTCTTTGCATTTGATTTGATATATTAGTAATCTTTTTGTTGCTATAACAAAATACCCGAGAAAATCAACTTGTAATAAGGAAAGATTTGTTTTGGCTCATGGTTTCAGAAAGTTCAGTCCAAAGTCACTCAGTCCTGTTGCCTTTGGACCTGTAGTGTGGCAATGCATCATGGCAGAGAGTATGCAACAGAGGATACTGCTCACCTCATTCCCTTCAGGAGGCAAAGAGAGACAAAGAGCCTGGGGTCCCAATATCCCCTTCAAGGGCATACCCCAATGACGTAACTTCATTCCACTAGGCCCTATCTCTTAAAGGTTCCACTACCCTCCAATACCACCACAGGATGAGGACCATGCCTTAACACATGGACCTTTGGAGGATGTTTAATATCTAAACCATAACCCCCTACTTGCTAAAGTCTACATGAACACTACATATTTGATTGTACATATTTCTGGGTCCAGTTGTAGTCTTATAGTTCTTCATTTTTATTTCTAGCTTGCTGTCTTGAATGTATTTCAGAGGAGTGATGTAGAAAGGTACATGAGTGGTATGCTTCTGTATTCCTACTTATCTTGAGATATGCTCTAGTGCCTTTACATGTGAATAACTCAATAGTGTAGAGAATTTTTATTTGCAAAACACCTTGCCATAGCAAATGCCTTTTTGGTATTTGATGTTTCAGAATAGAATCACAGTGCAGTCAATCTTTTGTTCCTTGGGTTTTACCTGTATTTTAGTCTGTTGCTTATATAATTTTTTTTCAGTATTGGTAATAATTTAAATTTTATCTTTTTTTATTGAGCACCAAGCATCTTCTAGATTTGTCTATTTAAAGTTTCCTTCATCTTGGGTAAGTTTGCTTCTACAAAGTCTTTTGTTTTTGTTTTGTTCCCTTTTTGGTTTAAGTCTCCCACCCCACCCCACCCCATCCCACACCCCTAACCCCCTGCCAAGGAAACCATAGAGTTTTAAGGTTGGGAATCCTTTATCTGCTGTATAAAATTTACATTTACCATCTTATCCAACTCATCACTGTTTTCTTTTAGAGTTTGATAATTTCTCGGGGTTGTCCTTTATGCCAATCATTTGTTTTCTATAGCATCTTTTCCCCCTTTCAGTGTCCTATTGGATTGATTTTCAATTTGTATTTGCATTTGGCATGTTCCTGCTTTTTTGTGGATTGTTGTCTCCTATCCAACATCTTCTTTTTGTATTTCTGCCTGATTAATTTGTTCCCTTTATCTTTACTTGATCAACTTCATTAACTTACCCAGAAAATACCTTCTAAATTTGAAAAATATGTTTTTTTTTTCAGTAGAAAGTTATTTCATTTCTTTAATTTCTCAGAACAAAGTTCTCTTTCATGGAAAGTGTCTTCCAGAGCTCCTGTTTTCATTTTTGGGTTGTTTGTTTTGTGAAATCTCAGCTGATCAGAGTTATTCAGGTTCAGGGGCAATCAGGTGAGGGGAACACACTGCTAGCCTCCTCCGTGTGGACTTGTGTGAACTCCCACTCTCAGATACAAACCTGAAAGGCACCTGTGCAAACTCCTGTACTTCTCAGTGCCTTATAGGCAAGGTGAGCCTCAAGATTGTGGTTGGGTGCATCATGCTTGGGCAGCTTAGGTCATTTAACTATGTGAGAGACTCAGTGTGCAGTGTTTTTGAACAGCATACGTCATTGCAGTCTGCACTCCTACTCCAGTATTCGCCACTCATCCTGGGCCCCACTCTAGTTCATAAAGCTTTCAGCTGGATGACTAAGCACTCCAGAGAGCAGCTCATCCCTGCCGGGTCCTTCTGTTCTCTGTCATGTCTGTTCTCTATGATATTGATCTGAGTGGATGCAGAGAAAAAACAAAAAAACTAAAAACAAACAAAAACTGAACAGAGGAATGTTTGCAAGACTTTCTTTAGCTCAGAGGATAGATAGTATCCAGGGGAAGGATGACCTCTGATATGTTTAGGTTAATGTCTCTGAGTCACTCACAGATCTGGGACAAGGGAAGGGCTCAAAGTTTTGTCCTACTTATTTGAGGTCATATGATCTATGCTAGATTCTAGAGTTTGGAGCATGTGATATGTAGACAAAGAAGGCACTTCTCAGACATTCGCATCAGAAGTGTAATTGTTAGAAACTTGCCCAGATTTTGGCCAGTGTTCTGTTCTTGTCTCTCTTTATTTTTGGCATTATGTCAATTTTTAGCCCCAGTTCTCTGACCCTCTCTTTATCCATACCCTTTACACTATGAACTTGCAATTCCATCTGTAGAGGAGTGGAGTTTCTTTCCCCATCCCTTGAATTGAGGCTAGTTCATCATGAGCTTTGACCAATAAAGTGAAAGTGGAGGTGTGACAATTCTGATACCAGAACTCCAAAGTCTTGTATATTTTTTATTCTTTCTCTTTCTTTAAGAAAACAAGTTTAAACTAGCTTGCTAAAGGATGAGTGGCCACATGGAACAGAGCCAAGTTGTCCCAGATGAAGTTGCCCAAGATCAGCCAGCTCTCAGGAAACCTGCCAACTGTTTACACAAATGAATCCATCTAAACCAAACCTAGATCTGCAACTTATAGTCAATTTATAGACTCATGAGGAAAAAAAATACATGGTTATTATTTTTGTCAACTAAGTTTGGGGTGGTTTGTTATACAGCAACAGCTAACTGATACATAACATTTAATCACAAGACTGTTTAAAGATACTTGAAATATGTGACAAACTACATTTCAAATAAACTGTGAGGGACACATGCAAACCAGACCTGAACCATAACAGAGGGCAAGTAAAGTGAAAATGGTCTCAATTTAATTTGTGCTTAATTAATTCACAAGGATATTTAAGAGTTTTCAAACAATCATTGTGAATTTTAAATTGTCCATTAAAATTGTTAGTATCCTTTGCCCACGTTACTTTTGTGCAAACTGGCTTTTTAAAAATTTCTTGGTGAAATCTCTCTGTATTTTCAAATCTAACTTTTCTCAAAATACTTACAAATTTTGTTTGATTTGTGTTTCTTTTTAAAAAAATATTCTTTCAGTTATATATGGACACAATATCTTTATTTTGTGTATTTATTTTCATGTGGTGCTGAGGATTGAATTCAGTGCCTCACATGTGGGAGGCAAGTGCTCTGACATTGAGCCACAATTCTAGCCCCTGTTTGGCTGTTTCAATGCCTAAATTATACCTTGATTAGATTTGTGAAGAATCCTTCTGTTGTGTAATAGATTGTTGATAAATATTCATAGTTCATAACTGTCTACCACTTTTCTTTGTCTTGTGTTATTTCATCAGTATTTTGATGGGAAGGTGAGTGAGGGCAGCTTAGGTGGATGCCATCCTAATCTGACTCATCTTTTATCAATATATCATAATAATATAAAATTATTACAAATTTAAAGTCATACCATATATTTTGCTTTGCTCTATATTTAAATAACAAGTATTGTTTCACTTACTGGCTTTAAAACTTTTCATGGTTCTCCATAATTTAGATGTAACTTTAAAAGCTGGAGCAGGGCATATCTAGCTCATCACCATGTGTCTCAAACTTCTCCATCCAGGCATATCTCTGAACTCACTCTCTTTGCTCCATTTAAATTGAACCTTTCACAATTTCCCAAGTACATTCTAATCCTTCAGTCTTCTGCTTTGCATGTATGGTATTCTTTATTTTCTTAGGATGTCTTTTGGCCATTCAAAAAATTTCTGTTCCTGCCAGGTGGGTGGCACATGCCTGTGATCCCAGCAGCTCAGGAGGCTGAGACAGGAGGATCGTGAGTCCAAAGATAGCCTCAACAAAAGCGAGGCACAAAGCAACTCAATGAGACCCTGTCTCTAAATAAAATACAAAATAGGGCTGAGGATGTATGTGGCTCTGTGATTGAGTACCCCTGAGTTTAATCCCTGTTACCAAAAAAAAAAAAAAAAATTCTGTTCTTTTTTCAAAGCCCTATTAGTGGCAGCTTCTCTAGCTTCCCCTCAGTTAACATGGTTGTTCCCGTCACATGGACAACACACCTCCAACTCTCAGTGTCTACACGATATTTTAATTACACTTAATTGATCACAAGATTATATGCTCTTTAAGAATAAGTGTTAATCACAGTGACCCTGCCTATCATAATTAGAAGCACAATAATAAATTATTTAATTAATAAACAAAATAAAAAATATGTTCAAGAAATGAAAGGATAGCAAGTTAGATGAGGTCAGATAAACAAAAGGCATACAGTCAGAAAGCAAGAAGTAAAGATTCTCCATTCACAGGCAACATAATTTTGTATATTAAAATGAGTTAAGCAAAGCACAGGATACAAGATATAAACACATACCTGTACCAATTTTTTTTTCTAGCCTAGCAATGAACAAGTCATTAATCTTACTTCTTCTTTCCCGCATTTTATGATGCTTTGACATGATGGGGCCCCTGTTAGCTGTAGGGGGACACTGCCCCTCCTAGACCTAGTTAATTACAAATAACTTGTCTATGAGCCCTGCCTTTATGTGCAAATCAAACCAGTCCCTAGTCAGACCTGCAGTCACCTCCTTTATCTAAGGCTCATGTACCAAGCCAATGTTTCTCCTGCCTAAGCCAAACGAGGGCCAAGCATGAACAACTGGAGAATATCCAATGGCCCAGAGCCACTGAAATGATTCAACTATCAGATCCTAAACTTGCTTAAATTTGCTTATCCTAACTTACCCATTTCTTCCCACAGAAAACAAAATAAAGACTCTGTGCCATGCTCTCCCCTGGTCCGTTTTGTATCCTGATGGGCCTGGCTGTTTCTCTGTGTTTCTAGGGATCTTTGAGTTATGAAATTCTTCTTTGATGACAATCATTTTTGGGTCTATGTGCCTGTATGACTATACCAGAAGGATTAAAGCAAATTCCAAATGGGACACAGTGACCCACACCTATAATGCCAACTGCTCATGAGACTGAGGCAGGAGGAACACAGGTTTGAGGTCAGCCTGGGCAACTTAGCAAGACCCTGTCTCAAAATAAAAAATAAAAAGAGCTGGGGATGAAGCTCCATGATGGAGAACTACTGGGTTTAATCCCCAATACTGGGGAGGGGGGAATCCAAGTACATTTTAATTTGAAATAAACTTCAAAGATTATATCAATGTATTTTATAATAGTCCCTTCAAAATGAAATTCTTAGGTGTGCATCTAACAAAATGTGCATTGAATCTATGCACTGAAAACTTTAACTACTCACAATGTAAAAGAAAATTTAAATAAATGCAGAGATATACTAAGTTTATTGGTTGTAAAATTTCAAGAAATTGGGAGATTGTTAAAATGTCAATTTTTCCAAAATTGATCTATAGATTTAATATAATCTCAATCAAAATTCTAGTATAAATGTTTGTAGATATTGACAAACATTCTAAAGTTTATATTAGGAAAGTGCAAATTAAAACCATACAAAAGATGAAAATAGCCAAGATTATTTTGAGAAAGAACAGATTTCAGGATGGTATAAATCTATACTATCAATACACTGTAGTATTGACAAAAAAAGGCACATAATTTAGTAGTTCAAATTAAAGAATTCAGAAACAAAACCCTACAAATATGGCCAAAAAGTTGAGAAAGCAGTTTATTAATGAAAGGTTACTTTTGAATAATGGTGCTAGAATAACTGGACATCCATATGCAAAAAAATAAATAGTAAAACAAATATAAAAAAGCATGACCCATACATCAGACCTAAAAAATGATAATAATTCAAAATGGACCAAAGACATAAGTGTAAAATGTGAAACTATAAAACTTATAAAACAAAACATAAGTAGAACTCTTTGTAATTTTTGTTAGTCAGAATGGTCCTTCGATAACAAAAGTGTGATCCCTAAAAGAAAAAGTTGATAATTTGAACTCCATCAAACTTAGAAACATTTGCTTGGTGAAAGAGACAACTGAAAGAATGAAGACGAGCCACAGACAGGGAGGAAATATTCAGAAATCACATATATGACAAATATTTTATATCTAGGACAAACAAAGAACTCCTTCAAAATAATAATATGAAAGTAAAAAATCATTTAAAAATGAACAAAAGTTTTGAACAGAATCTATCATTAGTCATTAGGAAAATGCAAATTAAAACCATACTGAGCTACCACCACATACCTATGCAACTGTTTACACTTGAATCGTACTGAAATTTTCTTGAAATTTTCTCTTCTCATCTTGTCACATTAATCTGAGTACTCTTCCTGTGCTCCCTTCATCTGCCAACTCCTACTGACCCTTAAGTCTCAATTCAGACACCAGGAAGTCTACTCTTGGACTCCCACCCTCATGCTCCCAACTTGGGTCGAGGTTTGCAGCCTGGGTACTGTGTGAAATCAGATTCTCTATTTCACCTGTCATTCCTTCAATCAATATATAGGGCACGTTTATTTGATTAGAGATTTATATACCCTCAACTCTAATCTCTACAGTCAGAGATTGTTTTTCAAGGTTATTTCCCCAGAAATTAGAACATTTAAAACTTGTTGAAGAAATAAATAAATTTATATGAGAAAAGCCCTATAATCTTTCATGTACCTTTAGCCTCTGCTAGCCCCAACACAAAATTATTATAAGGTTTTAATAGCTACCAAGAGGGCCACTGCCACTCAGTAGCCATGTGCTGGTTTAAAATTAAAATCTCCTCTGTCATTACAGGAAGGACTTTTTTCTCTATGTCACCTACTCATCTGACCAAAGTTGGACCCCCTGGCCTCTGAGTTGTTATTCTAAGCCTCTGGACCTAAGATATCTAAAGAATGGTCTTACAGAGCCAGCTGTAATTGGTTATGCAGGAAGAGACCATGGAAGACTTTATACCATGAGCACAACTTCAACGGCTCCATCATTTTCCTCCCTCAGTTAAAAGACTTTCACTTCCAATATTATGGTGAAGTTCTGCTCCTGAAGGTGAAGCCTCCAATCTGTTCAAGTCATAGTTTTCTCAGCAATGTAGGAGTCACTTGCAGATGGGGCTCTGCTCAATTTTCACTGCATGTGGTCTGGGCATAACAGGAAAGCCAGCCCCTGCATGGGTCCTGAATTAAAGAAGGTGGACACACAGGTTACATCAGCATCATGATAATACGGATATTCATATATGCTTCTTGTAATGCCTTCACCACCTATGGCATTACTTAAGATCAGTAGTATTGAGGGCATTGAAATTGTGACTCGTTGTATTCATAACAGTTTTTTGAGTATATTAGGTTTACACATATGACTACTAAATGGATGGCTTTAAAATTCAAGCAAAATCTTTTCCTTTTTTTTTCACAAAAACTCTTTAAGATTAGAGCAGCTGACATCAGTTACCTCCAGATCTGAGGTCTTCTCACAAATGAAACCTTAACAAAACTCCAGAACCATTTATTATTTTCCTCTGTGAAATACAATAATGTCTCCCAGACTGAACTGGAACTGTTAAAAGTGTGTGTATGAATATATATATATATATGTATGTATGTATATAGCCAATGTACCTGGCATGTAGAATGACTTTACAAGGAGTTATCTATGCAAAGTGTTAAAAGGTGAAACTTTGTGTACTTCTAGTTTAATGTCTTTTGTCTTCAGTAGGGAAAAAGAAAGAAAGAAAGAAAACTCTCCAGGGGAAAATAAAGCACACCTCAGGATTGTTACATCAATAACTTTTATGAGAGTTGTTGACTTGTCAAGTCATCTCCATGATATATAGAACACAGAGAGAATCTCTCTGAGCCAAGTTGATGCTGCATCACTGAAAACAATGCAGTGAACAACGTCCTGGCAATTAATTGAAGTGAAGAATGTTTCTTTATTGTGGTTTGGTGCCATTGTGCTAATTTAAAAACTATGGGTGCTAGTTTATACAAGATTTTTTTTTCTTTCAAATGTCTGGTTGAAAATACAGTTGGTTGATGCTGCAACCTAACCAAGTCTATTCTCAGAGGAGTTTCTTCATATAGAAATGGATATTAATTCAAGTGTAAAATCTCCTGAAGAAATGTGTGCCCAGCATTCTGTGTGGATCCTTAACTCAGGTTTGAAAAGTGATCAGCTTTGAGCTCATGGGACTGGAAGATTTGACTGTTGTCAGGCAAAGGGAAGGGTCTGTCCACAAAGGACTGATCTTCTCCAATGAAATTCTGGAAAGGGAAAGGACTCACTCACTGCATGAAGGGGCACAACAGTTAGTGAGGTTGCCATCACCAAGTCCAAGTTCTCTGAGACTGGAAAGTTCCAGTTGTGAGAGTGATATCAAGGCCAAAAGGTAGGTAATGATAGGAGAAAGATTGAGAAGCCACCTATCAGGTGTGTGGGAGCTGGAAGGAGTCTTGGTTTGGAGAGGTCTGTGTTCAGGTCTTCAGTAAGGAGTCTTGGAGTCAGGGTCCACCCTTTGTTTATTCTAGAAAGAGTCTGGGTTTAGGATATGGGGAAGAAAATAACTTCTAAGGATGTGAAAAAAGGCTCACCTAGGTAATGCTGGGCAGGAGAATGGGAAAAAAATAAGGAAGGAGTTTGAATAATGCAATTAAAAATCACAGACTATGAGGATTATATGCTCAAAACCTCTGAATTTTATTTCAACACCTACAAGCCAAATAGTAACCAAATGCATGCAGATTTACATACATGAAGCAGACAGCAACCAACAGTAACCAGCATTTCATTTATCTTTGCATCTGGATTCATTGTTTAAGGAGGAGCTTATACAGTTCGCATTGGGACACTGTGCAGTTGAATATAAAACCTGTTTTGAAAGCTAGATTTGTCAACAATAGATATTCTGGGAGTAATTTTCACCCTTTGCATTTGTAATGACAATGTTTATTTTGTGTACTTGCTGTGTAAATACAAGATGCTGTCCTGAAATGTGTCTATGAGTGTTCGTAACTGTATAAGGTGGGTGAAGAAAGTGTGTAAAACAGAGGCCGAGAACACCTGTCACAGGGTACCTGCCTAAGGTGTAGATACCGCATCTTTTCAGAACACACTGCACATACACAAAAGGGCTGATGAGCAGTGGTTGGTCCTGGATATGCCCAGTTCTCGAACTGGATATTGGAAGGATGGGGCTGGCGGTAACAAGAATCAATATATATTTACGGCGGGGGCGGGGAGGGGGGGTACGTGGAGGCTGCAGGGCGGGGCAGCGCTAATGAGAGCAAGCCCGGCTTGTGGTTGGTTCGGGAGTCTGGTACCCACAGAGGAGCAGGCAGGGAGGGAGGGGATGCAGGCGGGAGGATAAAGCGATGAAGTGTGCTGCGTTGCCGCGCATCAGGCGCTGTTGTTGGAACTGCAACACCGTGCGCCTCTGACCGAGACGGCCCTCTCCTCTCGCACGCACTCACCGAGCCGCTCGCGTAGCTCCGCGGTGGCGGTGGCGGTGACAGCCGCTCGCTCCCGGCAGCCCGCAGCCAGAGCTCGGCGAGAGCTGGCGATCGTCCGGGTCCCCCAAACCAGGTGCCTGGTGTTTGGCGCCTATGCAGGGCACGTGCGCCCCCCGGCTGTAACCTGCACCCTGACGGGAGCATGATCTGTGCCCAGTCCGGGACTGCCAAGGTAAGAGAGCGCTTTGCGGGGACTCTGCCTTCCGCCCCTGCCGCCCCCCCCCCGCCCTTCTCTGGGCGTCTTCCTAGCAGCTCGCGAGGCCCCAGCAGCGCCCTCCCTCCCTGGGGCCGGGATCCACCCTCCTTCCCACCCTCTCGCTTCTCCCGCGAGGTTCAATTGTCAGCCTGGGGCGCGCAGCTGTCCGGGTACGGCTGGGATGCCCGGGTGTCGACCCGGGCTTGGGTATAGCAGGCGCACCCGGCCCTCCTGAGGGGCATGGAAAGAAACAAAGAAGCCCCCAAGCGGGTTCTCAGCGCCTCCCCCGCCCCTCGGCGCCCTCCCAGTGGCGAGGAGGTGTCAGGGGAGGGGGCGGAGAGACCTACGTAATCCCCCTTCCCAGCCCACACCCACCCCTTGTGAACCAAAGCCAAGGATTTGCGCTTCGCTTTGGAGTCGCTTTTGGACAATTGTGTCCCACGCAATGTCCGTGGTTAGCCCAGAGAGCGCCCACAGTCTCGGCATAAGCTCGTCTGTGCTTAGCTCAGGAGAAGCGTGGCCAGGTCCAGCCCTTGCTCCCCTGGGTGGTGGCAGGCGGGGAGGATGCGCGTTGTGGGTGCTGCTCCAGCGCCTCCTCGTCCCCAGCCGGCTGTGACTCTCAGCTGGGCCTGCCACCTGAGTTTGAGCGGGAGATGCCCGTCATGTCGCCTACCGTATTGCGACCTGCACACAAGCGGGGAGGGAGGTACCGGGAAAAATCGCGTCCGGTCCTTTTTGGCTGGAGGTGCGCTTCCTACCCATGCATTCCCCAGCCGTGACAATGCAGCAAAATTCGAAGGCTCCAACAAAGTGGCCCTTCCATTCCCCGCTCCAGGGCTTTCTGATTGCTCTGCTGTTTAGATGTCCCGGCCACTGGGCTGATTTTTGGAGTGTGGATGCGTGTTCTGTCTTGCACAGAGGTTGGGCACCATAACTTCTTCCCTGCCGAATTTCAGCGCGTGGGGGTAGCTGGCAGGGACACAGGCTGCAGAGATGCCTGACTTCCTGTGATTCCGGGCACAGCGCGCCTCATTCTGCATTGGGCTGACACCAGATAGCATGTGGGGATTTTCCTAGTTGCCGGATATTATTTGACGTTGCTGTAGTTTTGTGCTTACTTCTCTTGGGATCTGCAGTGGTGCAATTCTCCCCTTGTGGTTTTTCTTCTTTCTTTGAAAAGATAACAATGCTGTGTTCAGCAGAAATGGATACAGGAAGAGCAGCATAGTTCAAAAATTAAGGGAGGCATCTTCTCTCTTTTCCTGGAATTTAAACGCGATGTAAGAGGGTAGATGCCCTACCTGAAAAAGCCAGCCTTTAAAGACCCCAGCAGTGTTGTGGTCCAAGGCGTCTCAAAGCAGGTGGCCAGATCGGCATTTCTCATCAGCGGACTCGCTCCGGCTGTGGCTATTACGGTAATTCATTCTAGATCGGGGATTCATTTTGAAAATGTGTGTTTTCCACTAAGAAGGGATTAGAGTCCACATGCCTACCCTAGTATGAATGTGTGTGCCTGTTTGGTAGAGGAATACATTGTGACAGGATTCCCTGTTGCCTGTTCCCTCTGTTTGCTACCCCCTCTGGAATGTAGCATAGGAAAAATGAAGCACTATTTTAATTCCTATACCTAGAGGCAAATTTAGCTTTATAGTATGTCATTTACTAAACTATATTCCGATGAAATTCAAGTCTAATGTAGTTGGCTGCTTTGTAGGATGACAGTTCTCTTTTTGTGTGGGGTAGTTTTTCATGAAGGTAAATTGCCTAAGTTTGTTCAGAATGTGACATTATTGACTTGATAGGGAGGCCACATCCTGAGCTGGAACAGCCTATCAACGCATCAGTATAGAGAGACTGCAGCTGTTATTATTTGTTGACATAATGTCATTGGACTTGATTCCTTTTAAACTTCTGGCTTTTAAAGATAGGCATGTTAAAAGATTAAGCTTTACCTCCTCTGCATCAGAGATGACTATTAATAAAGCAAATATTGAAAAGTCAGATGTGATCATGAGGAGACAAACCTCTGTCTCATTTGTTGTCTCTAAAGTAAGTTGGACTATCTGATTCTCAGGTTCTTTCTAGTCGTAGCATTCTGTGATAACTGATAGAAGGGTAAGAAAAGTTACCCAGTTCAGGAAAGGCAAATAACCATAGCCCAAACGATATAAGCAAGCCAAGAATTTATTGTAGAAGGTGTGGTTTAATTTTATACCTCAGAGTTTTAAAAATCCCTGTATCTACATTTTTCCTACAGATGAAATTAGCCAACAACTCAAACAGGTCATTTCTTTTTCTACTATCACAATGATTTGGTTGGGGGCTGGGGAGCAAAAAATGTTGAATTAATTGGTTAACAGGTTTTTCTCATTTGTGGATTTAGTTATTCACTACAACCTTGTCTTGGATAATCAGGAATTAGCTTATTTCCAACGATTGATTTTTGTTTGTTTGTTTCTAATGAAAGACTTTAAATAGCCATTTCATCCTAGGCAGTAATTAGCAATAGCATCAGGCATGCTTTTCTGATATAATTTGGTGTTGCTCATAAAACTTGCTAGCACTATTGCTTGTTATAAAAATGAGTGAAATGATAATTGTTCTAAACAGTCAAGCAAAGTGACTTCATGTGCTTATAGTAATTATTACAATTTAGGAATGGTTGAGGTATTTGATCATTGATTCATTTTAGCACACAAATTTCCACAGTTGTGCACTCATATTTTAAAAAGTTACAATTGAAATAACATCCTGGAATAACAACCCCTGCCAGGTATAATTAACCACTTCCTTTCCTGTTTTTATATATCCTATTCACTCATACAGCTAAGGTAACACTGATTACATTGCAGTTACCGGAGTTGTAAATGTGCCATAGCCTTCTTGTTTAAACATGGTCTGGGCTTCTTCAGGACAAGGATGTTGTTATATTCATCTCATCTTTTCAGCACCTAGCACTTTGCCTGGTACATGGTATGTTCTCAGAAATGTTTATTCCATGGATTTCAGGTCATAAAAAATGCTTCCTAATTGTATAGGCAGGAGGTAGGTGGGAATCCTTTGCTTCGTGAGTCAGCTGGGGGAATCGAAGAGGTTATGTAAGATGCTTAAGGGAAATGGTGATCCAGGACTCAAATCCAGTTCTTCTATCAGACTGTCTCTGAGAGAGACTCCTCCCCTTCAGTAATTAAAATAAGTAAGCAAATAAACAATCAAAACCATATAGAGAATAAGTTCAAATGTATGTTTGAGTAATTTATTTCCACTTGAATGATCTGGTTTGTCCATTTTGACAAAATTTATCTGAGCACTTACTTTTTAAAAAGAAACTTGTTTGACCCAAGTACTCTTTCCTCATACCTGCACTGAAACAGAAGGACTGAGCACCCTGATGTCTACCTTCTCTCCAAGTCTTGATTCTACCACCCAGAACTTGCTCAGATGAGAGACAGTCTAGGGAAGGCCACTGGCTAACCCGTATGTGCTCAAATCACATTTAGCCACCATACATTATGCTTCTGAAATTATCCAGCAGTTAGAGCAGAGACAATCATCATTCCTGGGTCAGTCCAGTTTTACTGTGAATCCAGACAGGCAGATTTAAACAGGTATGACTTACAGACAGTGACACTTCTTTTTCTTGCCCTAAAACCTGCTTCCTTTTTTACCCTAAAAAATAGGACAGGTTACTGTTAGGGAATCAAGAAGTTCAATACCTACCTATCACTGTAAAGTAATCCTAGGCACATCTGATATTCATGGACTTTCAGAATTTTTTTTAAAGCATGTACTGTTTTATGTGGTCTTTTTCCTTAAAGTCACTTTTCCTCTATGATATTTAGTTTATTCCTTAGAAATAGAAAGTTGAACCAGGCAATTCCAAGGGTCACTTGTAACACCATGATTCTGTGATTGTTTTTGCTGCTTTACTCCATGAGACAATTAGAGAGTGAAAACGTTAGTGATAAGTTTGCAATATATGTACTCTGTAATATACATGGAAATTCTTAAGAACATGTGTGTTCATCTGTGGGCTATCTAATGACTACTTTAAGCCTTCTATCAGCATTATTCTCTATAGGCATCTACTGTAATTCTTATTTGTAACACTAAATTTACTCTATAAAAGAAAAGAAAAAGAGGTTTTTAATATTTCATATTTTCAGTGAAGAGTGCACTGATGGAAAAGTGTACAACTTCCAAAATGTGCAAAATGTTTAGAATTTTAGGTTTTGATAATTAAGATTTCAAGATCTATAGTAAAGCACCTTTCATTCTCACTATTGAGTGTTTCCTTGCTGCATTACCCTTGCAGCAAGTGTTCCTGTGATTCATCCAATTATTATCCTTTTCAGTTTCTCGTTTGCCCTACCCCGCTTCTTTAGCTCCCTCCAATCTTCTGTAACATCCTCCACATTCATAAAACACTCCAGGATTACACTGCCATCCACCCCACCCTGCCCCACCCAGGGCAGGAGTCAGAGCCCTGAAAGTTGCAAACTTCCTATTTGTCTCAACCATGTCTACTTTCTGAGGTTTATTTGTTAGCATTACTTTTCCAAATTAAGTATGAGATAGACAGACCTTGTTTTCTGAGGACTGTGGAGGATGTACATGTATTCTCACACACTTTCTGACCACCATTTGAAACCTACATACCATGAATTTGTGTCTTAAAGCCTTGTAAATGCTTTCTTAAATGAAATAACTTATTGTTCATTTTATATATTCCATACCATTAAGTGTGGGTGTGGGGTTATTGGTAAGTAGCTGTTGTATTCTGAGATGTGAACACTATAGGAAACATGGCAAGTAGTCCGTGTAGGATGGCTATAATGCCACTATTTATTGGCAAAATTTCACAAAGACAACTAGACTCTCTGATCATCTGGGTTTCCATAGACATAAGTGATTTTTTAAAATCATTATTTACATTATTTGTTTAGAAACTGTATTTTTCCTGATTTATTGGCCGGAAGCTTGATGCACACAGAAGATTGAAAAATAAGGATGTATACAGACAAGCTCTTCTGTTACCAGGCACCCATCTAGTGCATGTGATATTTTGAGGAGTATTCAGAGAATGAAACTTAAGCCATTATTGGGGGTGTAGGGGAGAGCTGGAAAAGTTCGCCATCTGTGCCCATGATGACGGATGCTATCATGGAGACTTCATTCGGAGTCCCTTTTATATATTTAGTGAAGCAGATTTTTCATTTCACACTTTCTAGATATATTTGTATTGCACAGATGTCAGGGAAATATCATGTGTATGAAAGAAAGGGGGGAAAAAGGATCAAAATTCAGATACATGGCCAGGGATTGTAATTCAGTCACTTTGTCCTTAAATTGACACTTATTTAACCTGCATGAATGTCCTTGTTTTGTCCTTTTTTTTTATTTTTTGAAAGGGGGTTTCTATTTGAGAAACAGAAATCCCAGTCTTACACTTCATTCAAAGTCAAAGATTCAGATTAAGGGGAGGAAAAAGAATGGACAGACTAGAATTAAACACATAAGACCTTGCTTTGGCTGATGGACTCCATGAGAACGCCCATCAGCATCCTCTTTCCTGTAATACACAGACTAACTTAAACGACTGTAGGACACAATCAATAGATATTTATCCTTTAAAGGACTTCCTTTTTCTTTACCTTTATCCATCAAAACTTAAAACTAACTAATTAAATTTATTTCCTTTATTTTGACCACAAGTTATTTTGTTTTGTTTTGTTTTAGAAACTAGCTTTTTGAAATTGAGGAAAAAAATATTTTGAGGGTTTTATGAGCATTATCTCCCTTCCTTTGTCTCCTCAGCATTGTCCTTATTGCCCCCTCTGTATATGTTAACAGGGCACAGGACCTGCATGTAAAAGAGATGATGTTAAGAAAATTATTGGCATACAAATGAACTGAAATGTATTACATTTTGCAAAATTGCTCCCTAGCTCCACATACCCCATGTGGATTTTCTGTTCCCTTTTACAGAATATGCCTTAAAAAAAAACATTGTCTCACTGGCTTTCTTTGCTCCCTCCATCTCAGTCTCTAAAGACACATTTTATGGTGCAATATTTGGCTTATATAAATCATGCATTTAACATATATGTAAATTGTGAAATAAAATAAAAGAAGTACCCTCACTGTAGCCTGAGATGAGAATAATACCAGCTCACTTAAAGCTACATTTGCATTTCTGCCTCATTGCTCCTTTCTGGAGAGCACCATCAGGCTCTTAGACTCCCTGACAACCCCCCACAACCCCACCTCCCACAGCCCCACCCCCATTCTCCTGGTGAGTGCCTGGAGTACCAAGGATAATTCTCTACCCCAACCTTGCTAACATCGGTGGCCTTTCACTATGTGGGCCATTCTCTCTTTCTGGAACCTCTGGCTTCTTCTAGGACACAGATTC